GCCCCAACCCCAACCCCAGCCCCGTGGCGCTGGCCCGACCCGAGTCGCCTTCTCCTGGCCCCAACTGCACTCCCATCCAGCGCGTCGGCTCCTGCAGCAGTGACTCTGGGCACTCGCCATCACCCTGAGTCGTGGCCACACCTGGCTGTGGTGACCGGCCCGCGGCACAAACCCTCGGCAGTTTACTTAGGCTTGGTGTTGTGTTTTTCCTCCTTGTTTTTCCTCCTTGTTTTAAGTGTTTAACGGCGTGGGGTGAGAGGGAAACCCGAGTCAGAGCAGCGTGGGCTTGTGTTTTTTATGTAGCCCTCGTCATGTTTGGGGAAATTGTCTTGTAAATATCTGAGTCATCCCTGGGAAAGCGCTGCATCCACATTTAAACATTACCATGCACTCGTCCTGAGCTGCAGTGTAAAGGGAAAACTGTCATTTAAACTATCAGGATGAAGCACACGCTGCTGACCATTCCTCTTCTCTCTCCGGGCTTTGGAAACTTCCATGAAAACCAAAAGGGGTTTTTATCCTCTGAAGTGATTTCACCTTTTTTAACTAATTCAACTCATGATTAAGTTATGGTTTGGGTGTGAGGCTGGGCTCAGCATGGCCATGGCTTTTCCTGCAAAGCCCATTTCCTGGAAGCCGAGCAGGACTCAGGTGCTGGGGCGTTTGGGAGCTGCTAGAAAGGTTAATATTTACCAGGAAGGTTCCCCATTGCTCCATTGCCTGCAAGCCCATGCAAGGAGAAGCTCTGCTGTGCAGAATTTCCAAATAACTCAGGATGAAAGGAGCCGGGTCCCCAAAGGTGGGGGGGGTTGAGGCAGCAGAGAGACCCGGGGAGAGGTCAATAAAACACCACAAACTGCACCAGAGCCCAAAACATCCCCGCATGGGAAGTCCCCAAAGGGACATCTTCCCTCCCAGGGGGGTCATGGTTGACCCATGCTCAGCAGGAGGGGGCTCCTCTCACTCCTGCCCAGCTCCATGATGGGGTTTGACCCCAAGGAGTCACAGCACTGGGACAGAAACACTTGCAAAGCTCTGTGTGGGAGCTCATCCAGAAAAGCATCTGCTGCGTTTGCGCCATCTGAAGGGACACAGATCTGTGCAGGCCGATGGCCAGATGGGACAGAACGCTCACGATGTCAAATAAAGCCCCCAAAAGAAAACAAAAAACACCCCAAACACCCCTTCCCTGCACTGGTGGTGGCAGGAAAGCTGTTTCCTGGGCTCTGCTCCAGGTCAGGGCAGCTCCAGCTGGAGGACGCTATCCAAGATAACCGTTATCAGCCTCTTGCCAGTCACACTCACATTGTCCGACTCTCAGTAAACACACATTTCATCAGGACGCTCTGACCAGGGAACAGGAGGCAGGTCCTGCCCCAAACACCCCCTGCTCCCGTTCTTCAGCCCAAGGACGCTGAATCCTCAGCACTGAGTCAGCAGCGACCGCAGCGCAGCAGACCGGGATCCCTGAGGAGCTGCTCCAGCTCCCACCCCACAGTGCCTGTGTCCTGCCTGGGAGAAGCACCTGATCCTTGTACCCTGTCGCTTTTGGAAATGTTCTTCCTGCCTCTGTCCGGCTCCCTGTTCCTAATTTTTATTTCTTCCCTTGGTTTCTTTTCCTGCTGGTCCCTGCCTTATTCATTCCCCATGGTTGGACTCGATCACAGAATCATTAAGGCTGGAAAAGACCTCCAAGGTCATCAACCCAACTCCCCCATGGCCACTAAACCGTGTCCCCAAGTGCCACATCCACCACTTCTTGAACCCCTCCAGGGATGGGGACTTCCCTGGGCAGCCCCTGCCAGTGCTTGACCACTGTTTCAGTACATAACATTTCCTAAGGCCTGATCTTAAAGGTCTTTTCCAACTGAATGACCATGATTCATTCCTCACAGCACTGTGATGGAAATCATCCTCCTCTCCTGCCCTGCCTGCTCCTGGGCCATGCCATGGGCACGAGGGACTCAGAAGCAGTCACAGCTGGGGCCTGAGCTGTGTAAAGCAGCTCAAAAATAAGATGTGGTGATAACAGAGCATGGGAAAGGGGAGTTTTGGCCCTCGTGCAGCCTCCTTTGTAAGGATTCCAAGTTGCAAGCCTGGGGTCCCCGGTTTCAAGCCCAAGGTCCCCAGTTTCAAGCCTGCAGCGCCGGGCAGATCCAAGCAGACACCCAAGGGCTCCAGAGATGCAAGGGGCCATGAAAAGGCAAACACTGCCCCCAGGACCAGCCCCGTTCTGGATGAACATCTCATCATTGCAGCAGGAAGAGCCCAGGATGTATCTGCGGGCACAAGGGGAGGTTAAAATCCCCTTTTCTGCTCGGTTATGTCAGCCTTCCTCGCACGGGGGAAGCGTGGGGGCACTTTCACATAGCACTGGTTTCCGAGTGCTTGTAACAGCTCCTCGCTGGAGGAAAATGCTCCTCTTTTGAGCCACGAGCTATTCCTGGCAACCACAGCTATAAGAAAGCCAAGCTCATTCAAGGCGGAAGGCGCAGGCTCTGTGTCACCATTGCTACAGAGCCACAGAATGATGGTCCAGGACCCGCACCATCAGCTCTCTCCTCCAAATGAGACCAGGAAAAGACTCTGGTGACAGAGAATTGTATAATAAAATAGTTTCTTTGGTTTCTTCCTTTAGAAAAACATCTCTCACATACGGTATAAAAACAGGTAGTTTAGAAATACACTTAAAGGCGGCTGTACCAGTGACTTTGGGGGCGTCCTACACCCAACGTTTGCCTCAGCACTAAACTCCTCTCTCAAGACAAAAGCGTGACAAACAAATGCAAGCCAATCCTCTTTGGGAAATACTGTTAAATAACTAAAAAAAAAAACCCCAAAAAACCCCAACAAAACCAAACCCACGCAGTGTAAAACAACACCGGACAGCTGTCTAAAAAGGGGAGCTGGGTTCTTCCCCAGAAAACATGACCCTGGCTGCACGTTTCTCTTCTGATAAATGGTTGACCCTTACTGAGTGATAGAAAAATCAACGGCCCAAAGCACCCAGGAGCTGGACCGGCCGCTGGTGCAGGGATGCGGCTGGGCTCAGCATC